TGAGTTCTCTCGTGTTCTCTAAGATTAGAGCTTGTAACAAAGGCTTTTCCACATAGAAGACATTTATATGGTTTCTCTCCAGTGTGAGTTCTCTCATGTTTTTTAAGACAAGAGCTTGTAATAAAGGCTTTTCCACATAGATGACATTTGTATGGTTTCTCTCCAGTGTGCGTTCTCTCATGTTGTCTAAAACAAGAGCTTTGAACAAAGGCTTTTCCACATAGATGACATTTATATGGTTTCTCTCCAGTGTGCGTTCTCTCATGTTCTCTAAGATTAGAGCTTGTAACAAAGGCTTTTCCACATAGAAGACATTTATATGGTTTCTCTCCAGTGTGTGTTCTCTCATGTTGTTTAAGATAAGAACTTTGAACAAAGGCTTTCCCACACAGATGACATTCATAAGGCTTCTGTCCAGAATGAATATGCTTATGTCTAGTTAAAGATGAAAAATACCTGAAGTGACTCCCACACTGATTACAAACAAATGGATTCTCTCCTGTGTGAGTTATTTTATGGGAACGAAGGTGGGAGTTTCGACTGAAGTTTTTTCCACATTCATCACATTTATAGGGTTTCTCTCCTGTGTGAATTCTCTGGTGTATGCAAAGCTTCCTTCTATTATGGAAGCATTTCTCACATTGATTACATTTATAAGGTTTTGCTTCCATGTAAGTTTTCTGGTGTCTATAAAGGTCGCTTCTATGACTGAAATGTTTCCCACATTCACTCCATTTATAGGGTCTCTGTCCAGTGTGAGTTAAGACATGTTGAGTCAATGTGTAGGTTTGAGTGAAAACTTCATCATACCCAAAATGTTCAAACGGGTCTTCTCCTGAGTGATATTTCTGCTGTTGGGAAAGAGATGAGACTGTTATAGGAACTTCTCAGAAATATTTATCCATAGGTTCTCTATATATAAATTCTAGGCTGACCACTCAGTGATAATCTCCAATTAATTCCCCAGGTTACTTACGTGCACATGGGGTATTCATCTCCTGCACGCACAAACATTTTTACCTTTACATATCATATGGATGGAGGTTTCTGTGATTTGTCCTGCGTAACCTTCCACCCCGACCTGCATGAACACAGGCAGGCTAAACAATGACGTGTGTGAGACACCTGCTGCATGAGTGACCTTGGGAGCCTGGTTAGTAGACATTAGCTGGCTTCCAGGTCAGAATTGGCCCTTCTGGTCTGGATGCCAAGAACTGTAAGAGTTGATGTAACTTTCTTATTCTCCTTTACTGCTTACTCCTGCCCTCATCTATGCACAGACTTCCCTTTTCTTCTTTTGGTTTCTATTAGATTTTTATAATATCAATGGAGTGTTTTGTCCCCTTTGAAACAGAGTATGGCTGCTGTCAATCTTTTATGTAGAACGCAACTGGTGTAGTCAGCAGGATTCACGACACGACTTTTCTGTTTCGAAGAGGAAACCCCCACCCTGATGCTGATATTCCTGAGTGGGAAGATCTGCAGTTTTGCTCACTGGCAAAAGAATGGTCTAAGCAGGTCAGTCTGTATGAACAATGGGAAGGTAAAATGAAGTCAGCCGAGCCACCACTGCTCATAGACACTTTGCGGACTGTAACTGGGATAGATGATGGGTCATTCCTAGCTTGCTGGGAATGGTGTTTGTTAACAGCCTATAGACAAATGATCACATCGTGGTAAGTGCCAGGAGGAAAAACTAAAATTAAGAAAAGGAAGTAGCGGATTTACAATCTAGAATGGCTATGCTTCCATGTCAGACTTACCAAGTCCACACCTATCAGCATGGGGCAGAAAAAATGGCCATACGGTTCGCCAGGGAAAAATAAAAGAGAGGGAGGATGGACGCTAAGAAAGTGCACGTAGCTATGGATGCTGCTGGGTGTGAGTGGGATGGTGACATCTGGGATGATGATGACAGGGGGACGGATACCACCTCTCAGACAGAGACACCTAGGGCAGCAGAAGCATCACCCCACAAGAGTGAGAAGAGCTACTCCGAGGATTCTGAGAAGAGAATGCCCCATGAAGAGATGTTACAATTACAAGAGACTGTGCTACATGAAGTTTTAAAAAAAGGTGGATTCTGAACACACTGCTACATCTGTGGCAGTTTCAAAGACATCTTACCCTAAGATGGATGGAAATAATGGAAGCAACTCTGTATGTATAAAAGTAAGAGATATGTAAAAAAAGATATAAGGAACAGGAATGTATTTTTTTGAAGGTAAAAGAAGGTAATTTTGTTCTGGATGAGACTGGTTGTTTGGAGAGAAATAGCTTAGGATAAAATCTTAATGCAAAGTAAACTTGTAGAAGGTTTGTCAAGGGAGATCTTTGGAATTTTAAGTACGATAAGGACAGACTAAATAAGATTGAAATAAATGGATTTTAAAAGTACATGGTATAAAATTCTGCTTTTCTCTCTGTTCAAAAGACAAGTTTCTCAAATTATTGGTCTGTACTTGCTAAGAAGATATAAACAGTTGTTTTCTTTTTGTCTGCTCAGAAAAACCAGTTTCTGTGTTTTGTCTTTATCAGGTCTTTAAGAATCTGTAATCCAATTTAGGCATGTGCTTTAAAACCTTCTAGGGTTTTAACAAACTTCCCAAGATTTCAATTGCAAATGACGTCTTTTTGAGCGAGGCCTTTTTATTTAGTGTGTTAAGTTACCTGGAAAGCACTGTCAAACAAATCATGTTAAGCCTTATGTTGTTTGGGTAAATGCTATAATTTTTCTAGAGATTATATGCAATTCCTAAAGTTTTTTTTTTTTAAGATTTTATTTATTTTTTGACAGAGAGTGAGAGAGGGAACACAAGCAGGGGGAGTGGGAGAGGAAGAAGCAGGCTTCCTGCTGAGCAGGGAGCCCAATCCCAGGTCCCTGGGATCATGACCTGAGCCAAAGGCAGACGATTAACAACTGAGCCACCCAGGCGCCCCTGCAATTCCTAAAGTTTTAATAAAGATCAAATAAGCCCATGCTATCTTTGTTGCGATTTGTTATCAAAAGGATGACTTTAAAAAAAAGGAAGATAGCAGGAAGGGAAAAATGAAGGGGGGGAAATTGGAGGGGGAGACGAACCATGAGAGACTATGGACTCTGAGAAACAAACTGAGGGTTCTAGAGGGGAGTGGGTGGGGGATGGGTTAGCCTGGTGATGGGTATTAAAGAGAGCATGTTCTGCATGGAGCACTGGGTGTTATATGCAGTGAATCATGGAACACTACATCAAACACTAATGATGTAATGTATGGTGATTAACATAATTAAAAAAAAGGATGACTTAAAAGAATGGTTAATTTTGTGTCACCAAATTTTCATGGGTAATTGTTAAGATAGCTTTCAAAGTCTTTGGTAACCTGGAACTTTAAAGTTTTGCTTGGATGATAAATTGGGATTGAATTCGTTGGATGTCTAGGTCTTTTCCATATAGGATAAAGTGCTAAAGCACTGATTACTGAAACAGGCTTGCACTTCTGATTTCTTACTGCAGAGAAACTAAGGATATTTGAGTCTTTTGATAAACATGCTTTGTGCTTAATTGATTCATAAATTTGCCATCCAAAGAATTCTAGTGTGACAGTTCACAACTGGTTACTACTTAGTTTTTATTGAAGACGCCTATGGGAAGACATTTGGCAGTGGGCCCCAAATACTAAAATTACTGTTTTTCATGTAGATGCTCACAGTGTGCTTACCTCCACAGAGCACACCTTCAACAAAGTAGCTAACTCACTAGTTCAGTCACGGCAAACACAGTTAAGCCTGTGACTGACACCGGACTGGTGAAAAGCGGACTCTTGGGAAGGTAAGCTACTCACAGGTGGGCCCAGGACTGTGGGATACCCATCACTCAGGATGCCATGAAAGAAAATGTATTAAAATGTCCACCTTGTCAGATTTGGCAAAAGCAAGAAATCCCACAACAGTACAAGGGGCAGAATCAGCAGCGAAGACCCCCTGTCCAAATTTGGCAAATACGTTATGTGGGGCCATTACCCTACTTCCAAGGCTGTCAATAGATTTGTGTGACAGTGGACACTCTCTGGGTATTTAATAGTTGGCCCATTTGCCCACACCACCCAAAAGGAAACTATCAAAACCTTAGAGATATTCTATGATGATGTACCCACTCAGACCCAGAATGATAACGGCTCCCCCTTGACAGGTAAGTTAGTAAAAGCTTTTGCCTCCTCCTATAATACTGAATGGATTTGTCATATTCTCTATTACCCCCAGGCGGCTGAATTGATGACACAGATAAACAGATTTTTTTTAAACAACAATTAAAAAAAGTAGAGGATGGCTCTTCATCAAAATGAAACTTATACTTAATGGAGGCTTTAAAAACCCTGAACGATAGACCAATTGGTCAAAATGAGACTCCATTAGGGCAGATGAAGACTCCTAATTTACAAATAAGCTGTATGACAAAACCCTTCTAGCCAATATTAATATGCTGGAATATTAATTCAGATGCTAACTTACCTTCCAAAGCCATCCGACAACATTCCCACTTCTGCTGAAGTTATCTGCTCAAGGAGGGGTTGCTACAATGATACTCATGTACTCTGATGATAAAACATTCTATCACGTTTGGGTTCTATGCTGTCCCATCGCCTGGACTCAAGCCAAGGCTATCTCCACCAAAGCAGGACAACCACTGATCCTGCCCTGTTGGGCCCACCGCTCTCTACATGTAGGACCTACATGCTGGTGTCGTGATGGACACAAGATTTACTCCCAAAAACACGTCAGACGTCTTCTTGACCTCACTGACCAAACTCGTCGAGAGCACTATAATTTCACTCTAGGATTATCAGTTATCACCTTGTCTGATGTGGTGAACATACACATGTAAAATTGAGAAAGCAAATTCCCAATGATGTCCGTTTAAAACGAGAATCTATGCTTGTGACAGTGCTAATTTTCCATTACCAACTGTCAATTAATCCAGTTAATACTTCCTCTAGTTTATTGGACCGGTTACCCCGTTGAGGGGGGTTTCTACAGGGTGCTGTGCTCATAACAACATTCACTGTTATTTATATGTTGTTGGACTTGTGGATGTACCAAAAGTGCCTTGCAGGTACACATGGTATCGTATTATGCATGACAACTCAAGGACCGAATGTACTGTATGGATGGAGGTTTCTGTGATTTGTCCCGCGTAACCCTTCCACCCCGACCTGCACGAACACAGGCAGGCTAAACAATGACGTGTGTGAGACTCCTGCTGCGTGAGTGACCTCGGGAGCCTGGTCAGTGGACATTAGCTGGCTTCCAGGTCAGAACGGGCCCTTGTGGTCTGGACGCCAAGAGCTGTTAAGTCTTGCCTTACATCCCCTCCTGCTCCAGGCTGGGCTGTCCCCCCGGAACGGAATCTGGGAGGGAGGCAAACACACACAGCCTCGACTCCTTGAAGATGCAAAGACGTGATAACACAGAAATGCAGCTCACTGCAAACTGCACGTAGGCAAACAAATGTTTAACTTCCGACCCCATCATGTGCCCTATAAATACAGCCCTTGTGGGGATGGTCAGTGGGAAGTTTCAGCTGAGGGGAGGACGGAGGTCGCTCTGCCCAGGCCTCTCCATCGGGACCGCAGCCCGGCTGTTTCCCTGGGGCTTCCCCAGCTGATGAGGCTGGATGTTCTAAGTACCCAAGGTGATGTAACTTTGTCTTGTTCGCCTTTACTGCTTACTCCTGCCTCATCTATGGGCAGATCTCCCTTTCCTTCTTTTGGTTTCTATTAGATTTTTATAGTATCAATGGAGTGTTTTTTCCCCTTTGAAGCGGAGAGTTTGGCTGCCATGAATCTTTTGTTCTAGAACACCTTGGTAGCATCTTTATTGGAGGACTGAGTGCTTTTGAAGATGTCAGTATGTTTCGTGCAAATAAACCACAGTTATACAATTATCCTTTTATCAGAGCTGTTAAAAGTTTAAATCCAGGCTAATTTCTTCCCCAAATTAAATTTTTGACCACATTCTGTGGCAATATGTGATTTTTCTGCATTGTTAACATATCCGACTCCCAGGCCTACAACACGGACAGGCAAGGTTTGTCCTCATGAAACTTACTATTGTGTTGCAGTTAGATGGGTCCTCCTTGAAGATATCTTGCATAGATATTGTTTCTTCCTTTTTATGGCTGTTTTCCAAGCCTGAAATAATTGAAAATAATAAATAAACCTAAGAAATATCTTGAGTAGAGTAGGGGAATTAAAGTGTTGAAAAACACACAAGATGCATGTGTGTTCCTAACAGACCACTGCATGACCAAATAATGTGAAACTGAGGATTACACTGGTGAATAGACATGCACTTTAGAATAATGTCAATCAGAATAATATCAATTAGAAAAAACCTCAAAAAAGAAAAATAATGATGGGCTGTCGTAGAAAATATGGGAGTGGAAATCATTTAAAATAAAGAGAGAGTAAGAGCAGAAATCATGACCAAGACCACAATGTGAAATTTTACATCCTATGAGGACAGGAACATTGCTTCTCTGAGGTCAAATGTAAGTACAGATGCATGAAGAGAAACCAATGTGTGACAAGTTAACGACAAAGTCTGAGGAATGCAGGCTCACTGGCCACTTGGTCTTCTGAAGCTATCATTCACTCAAGGAAACGTGCGTGACACCAGTAACAAGATCCCGCTCATTCACTCGCTAGACTTCTCTCACTGAGCGCCTGTGTCCACAGCTCACCTGGACTCCAGCCTTGGGCAAGTCCTCTGTCCTCCCTCCACAGCACACCTCCTTGTTCCCACTGGGAGATCACATCTGATTGGAAGAACTGACACCCTAGATCAATGGGAGAAGGGTACGTGAGTTTACAGTTCTGCGCTGAGAACAGTGCATGATATCCTACCGTGCAGGCTGCTGCGGAAGGACAGTGTGAGCACTGCACAACAGCCCCGAGAACACCACCTTCAACCCGGAAACATCAATAAAGGCCTCAGCCTGACACTGCACCCAGGCCAGTCAGCACCTCTGTTTGCTGACGCTCCTGCCCAAGCTCAGCAAGTGCAGAAGGCTCCGTGTGTGTATCCAGAAGGAATGAAATCAGTGTTCTCACAGGGCAGTTAACATTATTTCCAAAGGAAGACAATAAACATACACTCCATCAGAATATTCTGTGGAGTTTTATGTGGAAAGTGATACAGGATGTTCGATTTTCTACTGTGCTCAAACTTCACCACAGTGCCCAGAACAGAAAATAGTTAAGATCTTTATTTATCCAACCAAAAACTATTCATTGTATTCCCAGCATTGTTCTGGGTCTTGGAGAAAGTGCAATAGGACAACACACAATTGTAGCTAAGACGACTATAATTCAAATCACTATGTAACACACTTGATGACAGTCAAGAAATTTACAAATTTCATCTAGTCAGAAGAGAAGGGCTACAAAAGAATATGAGTTAGGGCAGAGAGCTGTTAGAATTTGTGGAAGCTGTTGCCTACACGGTTCATAAATAAAAAGATGAATGAACGAACGAATGACTAAATGAACGGACAGATGGTGGCCGACTCACCCACGGAGACCAGATGAGTGATGTTCTCCAGCATCACATCAATGTACATCTTCCTCTGGGACCTGTCCATCAGCATCCACTCCTCCTGGGTTAAGTCTATGGCTACATCTTTGAAGGTCACAGATTCCTAGAATACCACAAAGAGTGTGTTTCGATAGGCCCATGCTTAGTAATCCATAGGAGAGAACTGTCAACAGGATACTGATGGCAAAGGGGGAAACTGTGTGGATAGGAGGTCAAATGCCATATGTGGCTCAAATCACACGTTCTCCCGTGATCTGCCTGTGCCTTTCAGACACAATCAAAAAGAAAGACGCACACAGTAGGCCCACAATTACTTCATTATCAAGGAATCTCAATGTGAAATCACCTGGCAATTTGCCAATAAACTGTTAATTTTGACTTCCTGGTTGGCAATTATAACCTAGATTAAATAGCACTGAGGGGCCCCTGGCTGGCTCAGTTGGAAGAGCATGTGACTCTGGATCTTGGGGTCATGCGCTCAAGCCCCAGGTTCATAGAGATTACTAGAAAAACGAACTTATACATAGTGGTGCTGCGATTTCCACTGAGCTGATGTGCAAGTGCTTCTTTCAGCACCAACACTGACCACACACGGGATTGGTCCACTCATATGAACAGGCAGAGACTCAGGAAGCAAGGCCCACCGCTCATCGCACAAAACTCACTTGTTCCTTAGAAGAGATCAGGGCCGACAGTATCGTGAGGGGCTCCTGAGACTGCTCTTCTGAAGGACGGCCCCACAGTGCTCCCTCCTGCAGCGAGCTCTCCATTCTCAACAGCAGTTACCCTTGGGTCGGTTCTCTGTATATTAATCCTGTTTTTCTGTTCAAAGCAAGAGAATCCTCTCAATTAGTTCTGGCCTCTCTTGGTCCTTCAAAAACTGCTTCAGGATTTTAAATTTTACTCTAATTTAATGCACAGCTAATTTTTAAAAAATACTCCCCGGGCATTGTTTTCAGATTTCCAATTTTAACAAAGTTTAATCACAAAGAGGGAAAATGCGTGAAAGGGATAAAGGTAGTAAAGAGGATCTTAGTCATCTTTGGAAGCTCCCAAACTTCAAGTACATGTTAACAAAACTCTTTAAGTTTAAAATTGAGAGAAAAACATGTTTTCTTCTTTCTTCTCTTACACAGATGTTTTTTGTGTTCTCTGGAAAACTGCACAGCGCAAACACCTGTCCCCTCACGGGCCGAATGTCACCCCTCCCCACATTACTAGGACTAATGAGCACACCATTTCCCAACTAAAACCATACGATGGAGGAGAAAAGAAAACTGCCAATTTCTTTTCTGCAAGGACATCCTTCACGGAGACTGAGATATGTAAATGTTGGAAAGGAGATGATTTCCTGATCAATCCCTGACCAAACACAAGCATCCCTAAGTCCTGGGAACAATTAAGTAGTGCCCAGCTCCCTGAACACTGCCTGGGCGCACTGAGGAGACTCAGGCCAAGAGAGGCCTTCCCATCCACTGGCAACAGAGCGAGAGCCCACCCCCACTGACCTGCAGCTGCATTCTCAAGAATCCAGCCACCCCCTCGCCTCCTCTGGATCTCCACTCACAGAGAGTACAAGCAATATGCAGGAAAAGCTGAGCAGGGAGAGAGAAGCCAAGAGACTCCAGTCTTATCCCCCATTCCTGGAGACCCTGATCATGAATCCCTGAGACCCCTGCATGCAAGCCCCCAGCTCCCTCTACAAGAACATGCCCTCAGAGAAGTGGGTAGCTCTCACAACTGCCTGGAGCAAAAGTGAGAAGGCTCTGGCTACCGTTGCTAGTATATAAAATATGAAGATTCTTTTCTATTTCCAGATAAGGGAATGAAAATCATAGAGTTTGTAAGTTAACCAGCAAGTTGGGTTCTTTTTTTTTTTTTTAAAGCTTTTACTTATTTTAGAGAGAGACAGAGAGACAGCAGGAGCAGGAGTGAGGGGCAGAGGAAGAGAGACTCTCAAGCAGACCCCATGCTGAGCATGGAGGCCGACATGGGGTTTGAACCCAGGACTCTGAGATCATGACCCAACCCGAGACCAACTGTGCCACCCGGGCGCCCCTCAGACAAGGAAGTGAAAGTCATTGAGTTTGTAAGTTAACCAGCAAGTTTTTCAGAGGGTTATTTAATTCTCTCCCTAAATCCCAAACCTAAAAGTCCCCAACTTAGAAAATGTAGAATGCAAGCATCTTAAAAGGAAATTTGTTCAATCTAACATTTTAGTAAAGTTGTAACTGGAATACTGTCCTACATTAATCACCAGCACAAACAACACCCAGCATTTCATACATCTTACATTTAAAAATATTGGTAAACTTTATGGGGCGCCTGGGTAGCTGTCAGTTAAGCATCTGCCTTCGGCTCCGGTCATGGTCCCAGGGTGCTGGGATCGAGCCCCGCATCGGGCTCCCTGCTCGGCGGGGAGCCTGCTTCTCCCTCTGACCCTCCTCCCACTTGTTCTCTCCATCTCTCTCTGTCTCTCGAATAAATAAATAAAATCTTTTAAGAAAATAAAGTATTGGCAAACTTTAAATTCTTACCAAAATTTTGTTAGTACTTAATTGTATTTCATGGAAAAATGATATATCACAAAAAGTAGATTTAACTCACCTCCTTATACCTAGAGTCCAGAAAATAAGGAAGACAAAATAAAAGTTTAATAGATACGACTCTCTGTTTGGAAATTTAAATACATTCACTTAATTAATCCTTACAAAGACTTCGGTGTATTTACTGCTACGGACTGAATGCCCATGTCCCCTCCGCCCCCACACAAATCCACTAGTCAAAGCCCTACTTCCCAACACGGTGGTCTCTGGAGGTGGCTTAGATGAGGTCATGAGAGTAGGTCCCCCAAGAAGGAACCGGTGACATTATTAGAGGAACAGACCCATAGCTCTCTCTGCCACGCTGGGACTCAGTGAGTGCCAGGCTTCTGCAAGCCCAGAACTGGTCCGTCACCAGGTCCCAAATCTGCGGACACTTTCGTCTTGGGAGCTGCCAGGCTCCAGAACTGTGAAAAATAAATGTGTGTTGTCTAAGCCACCAAGTCCGCTGTGTTAAAGCCGCCCGGAATGACCACAGCGTGTACTTCTTTAACAAAGGACATGAACATAGTTTTGGAAAGCTTTAGTGATGTGACAAAACTACATGGCTAAAGAATGATACAGCGAGCACTTTAATTTTGGCCTGTTTCCCAAACTCAGATTTCTAAGCACGGTCCTCTTCAGGGGTTCAAACCACCCCTAGGTCTTAGCAGGAATGCCCCTCAGCAATCCCCGCCGTGCCTCCTTCCAGCAGCTGGTCAGAATCACTCCTCCCACCTGGGGACCACCTTTAGTCTACCAGCCCATTTCAATCCCCATATCCTCCTTTCCACATGCATCCAGGACAAGAAAATGCAATTTTGTTCCAACTGAGTATGAAAGACCTGTCCCAATGCCTGGTTTACATGGCTTGTGCTCAAAACTATCGGAGATCAAAAATCCCCTTTTGTTAGATCTGCCTATCTCCCTGATATATCCATTTCTTCCACCCGATTAATGACCAACACCCTCTAACAGACAACAGTCCTATTTCTCAAAATCCAAACATTCAAATAAGTAGTCTTTTTTTTTTTTTTCCACACCAGCAGCTAATTCTCTGACAGCAACTGGGTGTGCTAGGGTTCAGCTCAATCCTGGCAGTCTCCTCCCCGAGTCATCATCAGATCCCCACAAGCCTTCCTCTACTCCAGATGCCAGCAGCACATGTAGTGCCAGGCTACTCACACTTCTGCTGGGCACACTGCAGGTCCAGGGGTTCCTACAACCCCTCAAAGGAGGTTTGGTAATTTTCTAGAATGACTCCTAGAATTTAGGAAAAACTTCACTTGAGCTTAATGGTCTGTTATAAAGGACAAAAATGAGCAGTCAGATGAAGAGGTACATAGGGTAAGGTCCAGGAGGGTCCCCAGTGCATCATCCCTGTCCCCGTGGAGGTGGGATGCACTACCCTCCAGCAGGTGGAAGCTTTCACCAACCTGCCAAGTCTCCAAAAGGCCGTTCAAGAGTTTATAGAGCTCAACCTCCAGCAAGCTCTCCCCTCCCCAGAGGCTGCTGCATGGGGCTGATATCATTTACAAGCACAAATCTATTCGTAACACTCTCCAGCTTTAATTTCTTCCATGCCTTCTCACTGGCCTTGCAGTAGGGCCTTTGGACCTGCCATGGTCTTCAGGCCCTGAAACCCTCTTCCTGCTGCCACAGCTCATCCACCCAGCTCCTCCCACTGCGGTCGGCTCCCTGCCTGTCTCAGCAATTTTACACAAGTTCTGTTACCATGAAAAAAACAAGTCTTTAAAATTATTCGTACTTCCATGAGTATTCCTAAGACTTTGCGCAAATAAATTTTTTAAAGGTTTTATTTATTCATTTGAGAGAGAGACAGAGAGCTCACAAGCAGGGGGAGGGGCAGAGGAAGGAGAGAAGCAGGCTCCCCGCGGAGCAGGAAGCCCAACACCAGACTCGATCCCAGGACCCTGAGATCACGACCTGAGCTGAAGGCAGATGCTTAACCAACTGAGCCACCCAGGCGCCCCTGCTCAAATAAATTTTTAAGAATTAACTAAAATATCTGTATTTTATGTAAGAGTTTTCCTAAAAGATATGATACTATCCTTTAGGATTACAGTTTTTTTTCTTAAATTTCTTTAAATTATCTCTCCTAAGTTAGCCTTTAAACAACAGAGTCTGACAATTTACCCTTCTTATTCTCTAGTACAACTCCTCTGTCTGGCACAAGCCCTGTTCAGAGTCTCCTACCGCACAGCGTCCGTCTGATGAAGAGAGATCCTCACTGCCGCAAGAACACTGCAGTGTGACTAGGCTGCCAAGACGACACAGAGGGGAACCCTGGAGACAGAGCACTTGATTACCTTAAATGCCTGCTACAAAAATAATACTCACTTTTGAGAGTTAGTATAGATTCACTTTTATATTTGATATAAATACACTGAAAAGAAAACAAGACAAACCATTCTTTCTGCAATCAAATGCCTGTGCCTAAAATGAAAATATACTGCCTGATAATTTTCTTCATAAGTCATAAGTTTCTTTTATATATTAAGATAGGTCCTAAGACTTATCAACTTTTTCATATTATTAAAAAATTGTTGAAACACATCCTACTTATGGGAAAACCAACACTAAAAGTATAATTTATTCTTGGAACCTATGATATTGAAGCATGTCGAGTATTACAGTCACTAGGATTTCAAGAAATCTGACTTGAAGAGATCTGTGTTGGATGGTCTTTCTCTCTTCCCAGGAGCTAATGGGAGAGAAGGGTCTACACAAAGATTTCATTCGCCTGCCTCGAGATGACCAGGAGGGGTTGCTGAGGGCAATGTCCTGGGCCTAGAAGGATACACAACGTCTCCCCTTCCAGGTCTTAACTACAGGCACCTCATTTTAGTGCACTTTGCAGAGTTTTTTTTTTTTTTAAGATTTTGTTTATTCATTTGAGACACAAAGATAGAGAGACCATGAGCAGGGGGAGAGGCAGAGGGAGAGGGAAAAGCAGGCTCCCCGCTGAGCCAGGAGCCAGATGTTGGGCTCGATCCCAGGACCCCAGGATCAGGACCTGAGCCGAAGGCAGAGGCTTAACCATCTGAGCCACCCAGGCGCCCCTGCAGATAGTTTTTTACAAAGATTGTTGGCAACGCAATGTTGGTTGGCGCCATTTTTTCCAACAGCATTTGCTCACTTTGTTATCTCCGTCACATTCTGGTGAT